ATATATATATATATATATATATATTTGGTACTAAGTATTTATTTTTCCATTTAAGAAACTCAAACTTAAAGCTGCCAAAGAATATATAAAACAAGTGATTGTTGTCCTGCCACGCAGGGCTATTGAGAATTTAGTTGAGTATTTTATTTTAAATATAAATAAAATAATTATACATATTTTAATTTTTTTTTTAAAAATTTGTAAACTTAAAGTCAATTACCTTGGTTGTTAACTATAGTAACTACCCTTAAAACAGCCATATCCAGAAAAGAATGAGAAGTTAATAATACTAACGACTAACAATCTCAAATTGACAAAACCTAGAGAGAGTAAGAAAAAAACTTCAGTAATCTCTTTTACATTTTAGTTTCTATGGTAATGTCATCCACAATCATGAACAATTATTTGACAATGCTATTACCAAATGAATAAGATATATTTTTTTGATTAATAAGAAATTAAAGTGCAAAACTAAGATAAATTATAACTTTTAGAAATAAATCAAGAACCATACATGGTTAGATTTTCATGTTAAAATGCTAGAAGTATTATACCGTACAAAATGCAAAGTCCAACATCGCATATTAGATAGAAACCAAAAATTATATTAGTCCCTTAAACACTCATCCTCCTAAACCACTGAACTAAAGAATTTTAGATAACATAATTTTAAAATATTCTTGAAAGTTCTTAGTAATCATCTTTATGAAGATGAAATCTCCTTCATAAAGTCTAACTTTTCCAAATAAGCCTGATATTACAAACTACCGTATCTTTCACCCAGCCATACTTCATATGCCTGAAGGGAAAAATTAATCATAAATATTAAAAAAAGGGCGCAAGAAGATTAAAATGGCCAAATGCGAAAAGGTTGAAATATCAGCTGTGCTCACCATGCCTACTCACCGAGCCAATCTTAGCTGTGCTCACCATGCCTAGGCTGCTGAAAGAAACTTGTCCCCCAAAAAATTTTGCAAATTCTTTTAACTTCAAAAATCAACGGCTTCTTCATCAAATTTGAGAAAAAATGCCAACATGATCAACTCAAAAAGTGAATTTATGTGATCTTCTCACAGGTTTTAAATTAAAGTCAAAACAGACTTTTTATTTTTTTTTTTCATTTCGATAGAAAGAACTAAAAAATTAAGTGCAAATACATTACAACAATGCACCAAAACAGATTCCCTTGCAAGAAATTGCACTTGAAAAGCAAGACATTTAGACTTTTAATAGTTCAAAAAAAGGAAAACTCTTCTTATGGGCCTTGGGTTTTGATTGTTCTTTCAATTGTTCTTTCTATGAAAACATATGAAAACATCATCAAATAAAATTATGAAGAGGAATCATATCTGGAAAAGAATCTATTAAATCCAAAATCTAATTACCTGCCACCGAGTGCTTTTTTCATTGTGTTTATGTTGTCTTTGGTTTCCCTTGATTTTTTGCTTGGTAAATTTCACCACAGATTTTCATTTGAAAGCTGGTAAATAAAATTTATAATGGGAGTAGCACAGAATCCTAACTCCTCATACCAAGCTCACTGCACACACAGGAAGAATTCATTTAGAAGGGAATTAAGCTTACAAACTAAATTAAATTCTTGTCAGATGAAAAACATAAATTATGTAAAAAAATCCTTATCCTGAGATTTAAAAGTAATCTTAAATCAACTACTAATTCCCAGGATGTATTCCTAGTAATAAAACCATTACGACTCACACGGGCCACATGTGGAACAGTTGGTGTGCATGAGAAAGGTGCCACCTTCATTCCTCCAAATGAGAACACCATGGACATCAAAGATGCAAATGGAGATGGATGCTTGCTTCAGAACCCGCTCCTCCGAGACGAATGAGATTGCCGACTCGATTTGGACTTTATAGCAGAAGAAGAGTAAAGGCATCCTTTGTGTAAATTTCCTCTTCTCCATCCTTTTGGTTTGGTGTGAAAATTAGAGTCATAGACCATGGAATCAAGTGCAAAATCTTCATTGCCCATGGCAGAATCTATGTTATGTAAATCAAAAAAGAAGATGAAAACAATTGAGAACCAACCCAGCAAATTGTGAGCGGAAATAGCAACTCCTTACCTGTTATTTTCAGAAAACAAACCCAGCAAATCACGTGCACAAATCTAAGCAGGAAATCCTTCGTGGAAGCAGCCCATCGAGGGGTAGTTTCTTGCAGTTTTTTTTTTATAGCATAAGAACACAGAACAGCAGAAGCATATATATACCATCAAAACGTCTTCAATGCTTGTTGTTTTGGGCCAGCTAAGCCCACTAAAGCTACCTTGAAAGCGCTCTTAATAATAAGGATTGATTTCCACCAAATTTTCTAATACATAAATAAATAAGTTAAAGATTTTTTTAACTTGTTTCTTTTGTTAATAAGAGTATTTGTTTTATTATAAATACATATAAAAAAAATATAAACACTAACATTAATTTTAATATTAGTATTAATAAATAAATTTAATTAAATAATTAATAAATTAAAATTTAACTTTTATTTTTAATATAAACTTATGAAAAAAAAAAAAACCTTAAGTCCCATGTTAGAAAAACCCATAAGTTACAAGAGGAAATAGCTTTTTTTTTCTTTGGATAATATGTTAAGAGGAAACAGTTAAAAGTTATGAGAATTGCTATTAACTATAACCACTGGAGAAATGTTTTTGAGCAAGACCTATCTTTTACGCCTAAAATTTTCTGCAGGTCTAACTCAAAAATACTATTCACCCTTTAGGTTCTTTAATCTCAGTAAACAGGAAAACCAACCTTTCAAGCCCTAGTTTCTGAAAGTGATATATTGAGTTGTTTCTCTAGTTTTACAAAGTTATTCAGAGGGTCAGCTGCTCCAATTTTGGTTCTTCAAGTTGGCTGTGATGAGATAAAAATCAAAGTTAGTTAACATTTAACATACTTACGAAAAAAATTATATATTAACAAGGCACTATGAGGTGAATGCCGACTATAATTAAGAAACTCACCTTTGGAGTTTGGACCACACCTAGCAGTTCTGCATGTGAAATGAACTGCAAAGAGAAAATTTAGCAGGTAGTTAGCTAACAGTCCAAACAAATACAAAATTAAATTCAACCAAGAAGCTAAATAGCAGATTAAATAGATGCAACTGACATGAAAGTTCATTTTTGTGATTTTAGTAGTGAACATGTACCTTTTGAATAATAATAACAATAACAGGTTAACCTGTCAAATGGATTTACATAATAGAATTTACAATACAGGCACTATAAGAAGCAACACCGTAAATCATGATCAATACATTGAAGATATGGATATTAGGTAAATTGTTAAAGGTAGGCAATGCCATATATAAAACAAATCCAATAGCTCAGTGCATTTCTTGTAGAGTTAATTTCGAGAAAGATGACAAAGCAAGAATAAATCGCAGAATCAATGGAAAAAATCTGAGTGTCACCTCTAGATCAGTTTATGTTATTTTCTTCTTCTTTTGCATGTTTCTCAAGATTATCTCTTGAGTTTTATTTTGATTTGAATCAGTTTTTCCTAACTGATCTTACAAATGGTATCATTAGTGTCTCAGTTCTGCTTCATTTCTTCATTTTTCAGAAAACATAAATACAAATGGTACTCCTTAGAATCTCAAAGGACATAATATATACATACGTAACAGCATGTGTATACATATACATGCATACATGTATGCACACACTATAATCCAAACACTAGCAGATAGATGTCCCATTGGTTTCATGCCCCCTTGTAGATTAAAGTCACATAAAACATACAACCACAATTTCATTTTTTAATTTTGACACTTAATATGCAGACCACAAACCTCTTAATTGTGTCAATTGAAAATAGAAATGATAATTTGATTGTAAGAATGCAATATGAGTTTTACAAAGTAAATTGTGGGAAAATCTCCTTAGAAAGACAAGCGAAAACCAGTTTAAATCTTAGTTTGAGTAGGTTTGATGTGTTGAAAGATAGGGTTGTAAATTGGGTTCGTAGCTACCTTACATTAAAAGGATATGGGTTTAAAAACAATGTATACTGACAATGTTATGTGAACTTTTCTCTTGGGTCTAAAGAAGTGTGCAACAAGTGTACCAGTTAGGAAGCTTTAGATATGTTCTTTCTAAAGTGGAACTAGAAAGGATGGTTTAACTAGTCAATTTTTTTTTTTTTAGTACATCTGATGATGAGCATTATAAGAGAGACAGCCATCCCTTTTTCCCAAATCCCTTCCCATCTGACTCAAGGTTTGAATTTGAGTTCTTCAACTTGGAACCTCAGGCTCTTAATCAATTGAGTCACCCCTTAGGCTTAACTAGTCATTTTCTATCAAGTGGTATTGGCAATGCCAGGAGGAAAAAAAAAATCTCATGGATTTGCAAAACATTTTGCAAGGAAGTTTTGTGAACCAAACATTACAAATATATGAATGCTATATTAAGAATTTACTCAGTTCGAATCCATTTTCAATTGAAAATGAGCTCTTGGCAAACAGAATGAGAAACGATAACGGGGATTAAAAACACCAAATTAATTATTAAATCGTGATTTCACGATTATTTTTCTCTAATTTTCGATTTAATTTTCTTGCTACAAGAGATTACTTTTTATTTTTTTATTTTTATAAAATAGCAAACTCCTCTGATTTGTGTACCTCTGATCTGATCAAAGTAAAAGAAAAAATGGAAAATCTACTAATCCAAACAACAAATTTCATGAAATAACATAGAAGTAAATTAACAAGGATCAGATGAAAAGATCAAGAATCATACATATTATCGACAGTTAACCCTAACGAAAATGTGTAACAAGTTGGAAACTCGATGAAATGGATAGCTGGAACTTACCTTCGATCCGGAGAGAAAGCTTCCATAGAAATTTCGCTGGAAAATACTGCTTGAGTACCGACGGTAGCTGAATTCCGGCGGTTGTTAAACGAATAACGGCAGGAGAGAGGACCGGCGTCGAGGAAATTTTGGGAGGGAAAGAGTGAGAGACTTTCGGTATTTTCGTGAGTTTGTAGGGAAGAACGATTACGGGCCGGCGCGGAAATTCTCATTAATGGGCTTTTAATTCTAAAGCCTATTTTGATTTTTTTTTTTTTACATTTTGACATAGAGTGAATTTAAAACCGTTTAAAATAAAGGATGTACTTGTTTAATAGTTAAAATATTATTGAGTTTAGGGTCAGGTGCGGCCTATTTTTATATTCGATCTACACAAAAGGAATATTGTCCATCTGCATTAAAGTATATGAGTATAAATTTTTATTAAAAAATTAAAAAATTTTAATTTTTAAACTATGGATTAAATTTTTTTATATGTTATTGAAATAACATAATTTTAC